TACATATATATATATCAAGTTTTGTGCAAATTTATTCGTGCGTGGTGCCCAAGCAAAATGGGTGTCCCCCTAGGCAAAATCAACGTTCCGGACGCGCCGGTGCAGTCCGTTTTGTCATCCGGGGTCGTTCGGACGACGTCGTCGATAATCGGGTCAAAAACACGTCAAAATTAAAATTTCACAAAATTTCGACCCGCGATCGATCGCCTCAACAAGTTTATTCGAGTCTTCGACAGGTAACGGTGCAAGCGATGTGAATTGTAGCAATCGGACGAGTCGACTCTCCGAATTGCGAAGTTTGTGCGCGCGGGAGTGCGAATTGTGCAGAATGTCACCCTAAGGCTCAAAAGGTCCTATAGAAATTTTTTTTGGGTTTCCTCATGTTGGTTTCACCCTTCTAAGTGCTAGAAGTCGATACCACACACGCGAAACTCCAAAAAGGTACAGAAGTGGGTTGGATTTCTAAAACGAGGCTGGTCCCATTTCTAAGGTTCTAAGATAGTCGAAGGGAGATCCCTAAGGCTAGATCCTAAACCCTAAGAGGAAGACTAGACCTCACTAAAAATGAGGTCCACAACAAATAGTTAGTTGATTTTGTTAAGCTGTTAATAATGACCAAAATATTTTTGTGATCTTGCAGCATTGAGAAATCACATAACAAAATTCATAGCAATTTCTTCACATTTTCATTCATGTAGCAATGACTGCAGCAATCCACCAAGTCTCTGATGCTCAGCCTTTACATTCTAACAAACTTTACATTGAGATACATATTTAACATTATTTTTCTTCAGACCTGGTCGCTGGAATATTAATTTCAAATCCATGTACATTTTAGTCCTGTGTGGATGAATTGTATTACCTGGATAATGAGCTTCATGTAGGATTTTCTGTCTCAAATCATAATCAGAAGGTACCCATAACTGCAATTTATATCTGATAACACCATTTTCATCAACAGTCATATTCAACCTCTTTTCTGATTGAAGTTGTTTTAAAAGCATCAAATATTCATTATTAACTTTCTGAGCTGCATTAATTATATCTATTCGTGTTGATTGTATGATCAATTGATGTAAATATCTCATATCCTGGTCTTCTGGCCTTCAATTGCAAGACATTAATTTTTTTAATCAATTCCCGTTCTCGAGTAATAATCCAACTTGCACTTCCTGTGGATTTACGGCTTAAAGCATCAGTAACTATATTTGTTTTGCTAGGACAATACAATATATCCAAATCACAGTGTTTGAGCAGCTCTAGCCATCTTATCTACCTCAAATTCAGTTTTTTTTTGTGTAAAAATGTACTTCAAACTCTGATGATCAGTGAAGACTTTGTATTTCACACCATAAAAATAATGCCGCCAAATTTTGAGAGCAAACAACACATCAACTAACTCTAAATCATGTGTTAGATAATTCCTCTCATGTGACTTCATCTGTCTGGATGTATAAGCTATTATATTTTTATTTTGCATTAGAACACAATCCAAGCCTTGCAATGACGCGTCACTGTAAATCTGAAACCCTTATGTGCATGATGGAATAGTTAGCACTGGAGCACTAGTCAAATATTTCCTTAATTCTTGAAAACTGTGCTCACGTTCTGCAGTTCACTCAAATTGGATATTTTTCCTCATCATCTTGGACAACATCATAACTATCTGTGAAAATTTTTAACAAATCTCCTGTAATATTCAACCAAACTAAGATAATTATGTACCCCCATAACATTCTTTGGAGTAGGTCATTTCACAATTGCATTCACCCATGGAGATCTACTGAGATGTCTTGGCCACTGATAATATGCCCCAAAAAATGCAATACTAAACAAAAAATCATATTTTGACAATTTTGCAAATAACTGTTTCTGCCTCAACAACTCCAATACTATCCTTCGATGCTTGACATGTTCATCATCAGTTCTTGAATATATCAGAATATCATGAATAAAAATAATGATAAACTAATCCACATAGGGCTTAAAGATTCAATTCACCAGGTTCATGAATATAGCATGAGCATTGGTTAAGCAAAAATGCATGACTAAGATTTTAGAATACCCATACCTGGTTCCAAAAGTTGTTTTAGTCATATTTGGCTCTTTGAGTTTGACATGATGATATCTTGATCTCAGATCAATTTAGAAAAATAAAAAAGCAC